CCTCAACCCCCCCCAAATCCCCCCAGCCCCCTCCCCACATTCCCCTCACCTGCCACCAGCGGGGGGGGGTCCCGGGGGGGGTCGCGGTCCCGCACAGCTCCAGCCCCAGGTGCAGCGCGGCCGCCGCCAGGTGAGGGGGGGGGTGGCGCAGGCCCAGCCCCCCCGCGGCCCCGTCCCTCAGCAGCGCCCACGAGACCCCCGGGACCCTCCCCCAGGGACCCCCGCCCCAGCGGCCCAGCGCCAGCAGGTACTGCAGCAGGTACTGGGGGGGGAAACGGGGTGAGAGACCCCCCAAGAGACCCAAAAATAGCCCCAAAATCGAAAAAAAAAATCCCCAAAAAATCACCCCAAAATCACCCCAAATCCCCCAAAAATTCCCCTAAAAATTCCCCCCAAAATCCCCAAAAATTCCCCAAAAATCTCAGAAAAATCCCCGCAAAATCCCCTTTTGAGACCCCCCCCCCAAAAAATCCCCCCCAGATTCCCATTTTTGGGGAAGGGGCTTCAGGGACCCCTCCCCAAAATCCCCTCTGGGGTTTCAGGAAGTCTTTGGGGTTTTTTGGGATTTTGGGGTTTTTTGGGGTCCCAGAATTTCGGGATTTTTTTGGGGTGCCCGGGGGGGTCTCAGGGTGTTTTGGGGAGGGGTCTCACCTTGTGGGGGTGCTCCAGGGGCAGCCGGAAGCGCAGCACCCGCAGCAGGAGCAGCTCGCACTGCAGGAGGCTGTCCCGGAGCCCCCAAAAATTCCCGTCCAGGGCCGGGGGGGCGGAGCCGGGCTGGAGACACCTGGGGGGGACATGGGGGGAGATTCTGGGGGGTCCTGCAGGGGTTCCGGGGTTACCTGAGGGGATTTTGGGGTCACCTGGGCACTTTCTCTCACCTGAGGGTGACGTTGAGGACGTCCCGGGCGCGCCGGGGGGTGCCCTGGGCCTTGGCGGCCACGAAGAGCGCGGCGGCGGCCACCAGGTACCGGTCCGGGGGGTCCCCGGGGGCCACGGCGGCCACGAAGGCGTGGAAGGAGCCACAGGCGGTGGCCAGGGCGGCCGAGCCCAGCCCCAGCTTCACACCTGGGGACACCTGGGGTCACACCTGGGGACACCTGGGGACACCTGGGGACACCTGGGTCACACCTGGGGACACCTGGGGTCACACCTGGGGACACCTGGGGACACCTGGGGTCACACCTGGGGTCACACCTGGGGACACCTGGGGACACCTGGGGTCACACCTGGGGACACCTGGGGTCACACCTGGGGTCACACCTGGGGTCACACCTGGGGACACCTGGGTCACACCTGGGGGGGAGGTCACTGACCCCAGCCCGCCCCCTCTGTGCCACGATGACGTCACGGTGACATCACCGAGCTCAGCTCCACAATAACCCCATCGATACCCGCACTATGACGTCACTACAGCACGCCTATGATGTCATGCCACTGCCCTCTGACGTCATTGTACCATCCCCAAACCATCGCCACCACCCGCGGCTCACTCCCGGCCACGGGGGCCATGATGTCACCGTTCCCCGATGACGTCACAAGCCCCCCCTACCCGCCTCCATGATGAACCGCGCGATTCGGAACCGCGCCCGGGCTTCGGCCCCGCCGGGGTCGGGGGGGCCGCGTGACGTCAGGGCCCGCGTCGGTGACGTCATGGAGAGCGCGTTAAGGCCTCGGTGACGTCACGGGCGGCCGGGGCCGCGCGCGGGACCCGGAGGCGGCGGCGGCGGCGGCCACGGGGGCGCGCGCGCGCCGGGCACTTCCGGGTCACGCGGCCGCGGCGCCCGCTCCGATTGGCTGAGCGACACCGCGAGGGGGGGGGCTTAGGCCCGACCACCGCCCAATGACGCGCGTCAACACAGCGCAGAGCTCTCTGATTGGTCAAGGCCCCGTGGAGCACCGCCCAATAAGGGAGGTGGGACGGCCGGAAGAGCCAATAAGAGAGAGGGGCGGGAGGGCGGAGCGGCCGCTCCAAGATGAGCGCGGGAAAAATGGCGGCGGCGATTCTGGAGCGGCTGGAGGTGAGGGGGGGGGGCCCTGAGGGGCCTGGGGGTCCCGGTTCCGCGGGGGGGTCCCGGTGCCGTGG